AATAACCCAATAGCATGTACATACCAGGCCTTTCCTTACGAGACTTGCTGAATAGAATGAGTTTGCCGGATATTTTTCTGTCTGATTTTAATGCTACAGTGAAGCTCACAAAAGTGACTTCATTCTCAGCATGGTCTGGATAGTCTTACTACATTAGCTCACTTGGAATAGTGAGTTCTGTAAAGAATTTTATTGACAGAAGTTTTCTTTTCATATATGGTTATCTTTTAACATCTTTCCCTAAAAGCACAAAAATGAGATGAAATTCTGGCACTTTTAAATTCACAGCCACTTGTGAGGATACTGTTCCTTTTCAGCTCTGACACTCCTGGATTAAATATTTCTTTGTACAATACTCTACTGTGGTTTTCTGCCCAGAAAATAGGTATGTGAGAGATGTCTTTCAGGGCCTGCAGTGTGTTCAGAAGATTCTGTTCTTTTTTTCCTTCAAGATTCAATGAAGAAATCTGTTTCTTTTGCCCACTCTCTGCCTTTTTTATGGTGAGAAGGCTTTACAGCCAATTTGGTGGTGTTGCGTGCTTCATAATCATTCTCAGTATGGCTGAGCCATACCTCCCGAAGTACATGATAACATACTTTCCTTCTCTTGAGCAAATTGTTTTATTTTAGGCTAGCCTGTCCTTTCTCCTGGGTTTTGCCAGCCCTTTTGCCAGAGGGGTGGACTGTCCCGCTGTGTCTGTGGAGATTATCTCAGATGTAACAAAATAACTGCTGTGGCACTCAACTTTAGAAATGATCTGACAACCGCTGGAACGTGCAGGGCACTGACTGATGTGATGTTCATTTAGTTTCTCCTTGGCCCTACACACAGTACAGCATGAATGCTACGCATTTGAGGATGCAGAGAGTAGTGCATTTTTTTCATTCCCTCTGTTGTTTGTCTTGTGTCCCCTGGGTCAGATGTGAACCAGCTATTTTTCTTCCTGTCTTTTGAAGCCTATTGTACCTTTAATGGTGTGTATTGCTTCAGTTGAAATGAAGCTGCAAGGACTCATGTCAAAAGATTATTGATGGTTACACTGTCAGGGGCATGCATTGCCCTTTTCAAGTGATACTGAAAAGTAGAAGCAGGCATGCTCACTCCCATAAATTGTACCTGGTTTCCTTGCTCACTGTTGTAGGTTTTGGCTGGCAGAATATTTGTCCTTGAGTAGCACCTTTGCGTTCAAGCATGCTGAACTATTTGGTTTTGGATCTCAAGTCAGTCTGTGTCATTGTAGTGCTCTCTGTCATGGTTGTTGTTCAGCCCAGTGTTGCATTTTAGTAGGGATGAGTAACACGTATGTGCATAAGGGTGACCTGGTTTATACTCATGTCTAGTATAATTTCTCCCAGTCCTTTTTCTCTGTGTTATTGAAGTGACTTCACAGTGTTAGATGTCTCTCTCCTAAAAGTTCTGTTTTCTTTGGCCTTTCTGTGATCATAATCTGTTTGGGTCAGGGTTTATTTTCTGTGGGACCCTTAGCATACTTGTGGGACCTATAAAACAGTGAATTCATGTTACATTACACTGCAGCATGGGTGTGTTGGCAGTAAGATCAGCAGCGGAGACAGTAGTCTGTTTAAAATTAGAAACCTGTTGCCTTGATATACTTGGTTTGAGCCATCTGGATATGTTATTTGACTGTCCCATTATTTCTTGTGTGGAGGAAGGAGCCAAGATCTTTGGTTGTTTGATGGACATTGAGAGACAGCTGAGAGATTAATTCTGCCTTTCACAGAGCATTCCAGCTCCCTGTGCTGTTAGGAAACCATATGCTTGGTACATCACCAGTTTACATCTGAAGTGAGGACATCATACACATTTTGTATCTCACATAGTGTGGGCTGAAGGCACACATTAATCAGGTGTGTCAGTGACAGTAGCCTGGCTCTTTCTCCTTTTCTTTTCCCTCGCCCCCTACTTCTTGGTTCTATACTCTTTTAGAAGCTTTTTTTTTTTTTTCTTTTCCTTCCCTAGGGAGAAAAATCTACATCCAGCTCTTGCCCACTGTGTCACACCTGATTTGGCAGTGTATGTGTTAACACCAGTGCTATTTTCTTTCCATGACAACCTTCAGTGCAAGCCCTGTTCTGTGTTCTGGTTTAAAAAATGGTAACATTTCCTCATCTTCAGGATTTAGCACTAAGGACAGCCCTTTTTGCAGTGTGTAAACTTCCCTGTTGTTCCATTAGATTTGTCCTGATTCTTCACAGTGGCTTGCTGTCCAGGTGTGTGCATTGTTGCTCCTGTCACATCCTCCGTATCTCGGAAGTGTATTTTACTTTGTTGTCAGGTGAAGAGGCTTGTTGTTGGTCTAGAACAGAAGCTGTGGCATTACAACTCTGAAACGGTCCCGAGTACTGCTCTGCCCCCGAGTAGTGCTCCGCCCCCAGCAGCACCCTGCTTCATGCACTCCTTTCTGGGATGCTGTTTGTGCTCATTTTCCCAAGTCCAGAGCCCTGCCTCTGTCTGGCAGCATAGCCTGATCTATTTATATTACAGATCTATTTATATTGTTTCAGGATAACTTTCATCATTGTTCCAAGTGCATCTGGAAGGAGAGACGGAGGCTTGCCATGTAGCTGCAGACATTAGGAAACAGGGGGAAAAAGTGCTTCATCCTCTGCAAATGTTTTCCCTCTTGGCCTGTGGGGCTGGTGCTTCATTTAACTTCAACCAAATGTCAAATAAAGGGGGACCAGTTGAAAAGAAATTGTCCTTAATTTTTGTAAACAAGAATTGGCTTCTCCATTCCCCTTTGCTTCCTGCTTAAGTTTTTTTCCTGTGCTGGTCATGGAGAACTTCCGTTTATCTCTCTGCTCTAAACACACTGTCTGTCAGCCCTTTTTTCCTTCCTACTCTAGTGTTGCAACTTAGGTCCAGTGGTGTCTTATCTCTCTGTTTTCTTTGTTAGCCTTTTCTGTCTCAAAAAAGCAAGGGAAGCAGGACCTTTTGAAGGTGAGTCTCTTTAGCAGGGCCAATGATACAGTTTGTAAGTCAGACTTGTAATATGAGCACAAAGCCAGTGGTAAAGGAGTGTTTTTAAAAGTTGGCATTGGGGCAGATATTTAAAAACTTAATTTCTGAGGCTCCTTCCTAGATCATTAGAAAGCCACTACCATGCATTAAAACATAGCACTTGAATTTTTATGTGAATATGTGTTCTGGGTGGAAGCTATTAGTTTCAAACTGAAGGTTTTAATGAGATGTGTGTTCTCAAATGTTTTCTGGAATAGTTGTCTCCAGTTCCATAACGTCACATCACAGAGATTATATTCATTGCTATGAAATGCAGGTATCCACGGTGTGGAAATCCATAGTGATGCAGTGCACCTCAACTGTAACCTACGGATTTGGCCATTGAGAGGCTGAAATGCAGCACGTGGAATTTGAATAGTCGCATAGCCTTAGCCCCTGCAGTGTACATGAGACAGGGTTCATCAGAAGTCATGCTTTTAAGCATGTTTCTGGCGCAACAGGCTTGAAGCGGAAGAAGGCAATCTTAAAAACAAATTTCAAGGAAAGAATGCTGCTCTGAGATTAATTTTACTTCTAGGTAAAAGTTTTTAATTTTGTAACACCTTCCACCTAAAAACCCCAAAAATAGCCCACATTTGCCAGTGGAAACGTGAACCTCTATGAATAACTGAAAGCTGCTGACAGTGCTCCCCGTATCCTTCACTGATCCCTGGGAGTGCTACTGAAGTGGATGATTTGGGAGAGGGGCATGCAGGCATCTGAGGAGAAGGGTCTAAAAGCAAGGGAGGAAGGTAACAAAGAGTAACTTTATAGGACAGAGAAAAAGAGAGAAAGCTTTTGACTTCCAGAACCCAGAGAGGTTTAACTATGAGACAGAATTGTAATACGTTGTTAAAACGAGCACAGACATAGTACCCAGGCTTTTCTTCATTGCTTTCTTTTGAGGCCCAGAACTGAACTAGTGTGTGTGCTAACTGCTGTTCCCTGAATTCAGATTTATTGGTTGCTTTGATCTAGGAATTCAGCAGACTCAGAGGTTTTATTCCTGGTGCTTGACTGTTCCCAAGACTTCCAGTGGTTACAACTTTATTGCAAGTTTCACAATATTTGATATTTTCTGTAGAATTATAGCTCCAGGGTTCTAGAATTACAAGAAAATCCTTGTTTAAAATTGTTCCTACACTTCAAAGTTTGAGGCAGGGAGCATGTGAAAGCATAAACATTACATTTGAAACAGAAAAACCAAAAAGGCAAATAACTGCACTTTTTCACATTATTCTTAGTCTAATTGTTTGCCAAGGGTCTGACTCTTGATTTATTTGCTGTTTGATACTGCAAATTGACATGCTCAGGGGTGGGTTTTTTTGCTTTGCTTTTAGTGACCACCCAGAATCTCCTTATCCATTCTGTAAAAAAAGGCCTCCAGTGTCATTGACCAGATGTTTCTTACCTATACTGACTTTTTTACATAGTGTCAAAATGTTGGATGCTTCAGCCGGCCAGGCAGTGTCAGGGTCACAGATAATGTTGTGTACACTGCTCAGCCTCATGTTTTTGGTTGGTGGGTTTGTGTTACTCTTTTTTTTCTTTTTTCTCCAGCTTGCGTTACCTGACCCCTACTGCTCCTGTTCATGTCAAATTAAAAACATGAAGATATTCAGAGTTCTCCCTCTGAGAAGAAAGTCATGTGGATGTTTGATTAGGGGCCTGTTATAACCAAGAAGATCAATGTAACAGAAGTAGCGAGGGGCTGGAAGACATTGTGTTGTGTGGCACCATTCAGTGTTGAGACAGCAGGAAATCACTCTGAGTAGTCACAGCAAATAAACAGGAGTAGAAAGACGTATTGTTGGAAATGGAAATGTGCCCTGTGCCAAGTATTCGTATGGGGAGCCAAACAACTGAGGTGTTTCTTTTCCGCCCACAATCCTCTTGATTTCAGGTTTTAGTTTTTGGCAGTTTGTCCTTGGGATTTTGTCATTTTCCCTTACCTCTTTTTTACATCATGTTTCAACAGATCTGGTGGCTGGATCCAGAACTGACGTATGGCAACGCCAAGCCATTTGTCTTCACACAGGGCCACTCAGTGTGTAACCGGTCTTTCTTCCCCTGCTTTGATACACCAGCAGTGAAATGCACCTACTCAGCTACTGTCAAGGTAAGAGACCAGAGGGCTGTAAATGGTTCATGGAGTGCTAAGCTGCTGTTAATTTGTGACAGTATAGTTACATGGTATATGTACATATATAAAATATTAATCATGACAGTGTTATGAATTTTTTTAGATCCCATTCTGGTTGTTGGGCCAGAAACAGGTTACTGCCACAAAGGTAACTCTGTTGCCTATCATGCTTGGGTCTTGCCTTCCCTGTACTCAGTGCTGAAAGAGTAACCATGAAGTGGATAATATGATAGAGGGAATTTGGCTAGTCATTTTCAGTAGTGGTTATTGGTGGTAATATTCAGCTGTATTTTATCAGTTCTTGAAAGGAAAAACCTCAAAGTTTTATGAAAGCAGCATCAAATAATTTTGTATTTTGTGTAGATGAAATAATTTGGTATCTGGGCACTTCTGGGGCAGCTGGCATAAGACCTATGCAATATGTGAGGAGTAATATTTTTAGTTGGTATGTTTTCCTGGGCTGGGCTGATGTGGTCTAAAAAACTTGCAGAAATCTTGCATTTTGTGTTATTTAAATGATTGATTTTAATATACATCCTCAGACATAGATGAAAAACCCCAGAGATATCTGTGGTGTAGTCGTTCAGCTGTGATCAAGTGAGTTGATGTGTATGATGTTGGTGTTCCAGGCTCCAGCAGGCATACAGGTGTTGATGAGTACCACCCAAAGTACCTACTTAGAAGAGGAAGGTGTATACCAGTTTTACATGGAATATCCAGTTCCTGCCTACCTTGTGGCCCTGGTAGCAGGAGACCTAATACATGCAGACATAGGTCCTAGGTAAGATTTGCATTGAGTTGGTTCTGCTTTTTATGTCTCTGTACAGTGCTTCATGTTATAAGTAGTAAATATATTGAGTCATATGTTGATAAGGGAACAGTTGGGACTGTGAGGTGTTAGTGTTCAGAGAGTTCGTGGGTTTTTTGGATGTAAATAAATTCATGGCACTGCACTGGCAAGATATTGTCCTCTTGACCGCGTAGTTATTACAGCTATTTATCTCATTGCCTTATTTAAGAGATCTTTGGTTCTCTCCTGCCATGTATGCATAGAGTGTTAGCCTAAAGAAAGCCCAAGTCTGATGTGGGACTTCTCAGCACTATTACCATACATAGAAATGTGGCGAGAAGTCAGGCTATTTTTTCTGAGAGATAATTCAGTTTGCTGAAGCATCACCTGATGTTTTCTGTTTTGTGACAGGAGCAGAGTGTGGGCTGAGCCTTGCCTGCTGCCAACAGCCATCAGCAAGCTTTCTGGCATTGTTGAGCGCTGGTTGACGGCTGCAGAGAGTCTGTATGGCCCATATATATGGGGACGGTGAGTTTAATAAGTTTCTCAGGAATGTGTAATGGGAAAAAAATAGAAAGAAATGATCATGTTTTCTTCCTGTGCTAGCAATAGCAGGACAAACAAGCTTCTCAACTGGAAACACTGTAGTAGGTGGAAACAAACTGGAGTTCTGTCTCTGCACATGGCAGAGAGAATTATGGAAGCATGTGGTGCTTTTGGACTGGTGGGCAGAATTGGAGGTCTCTAAACAGTGGAACTTGCCTGAGGAATGAAGGTTTTTTCATACTGTAGTGTTTTGTGATGCAAGTCCAGTGTTGGGCTGGACACCATTTAAAATACATGGCAGTTTTATTTATCTTATTTACTTTTACATATGGTACTTGACATATATTTGTTGTGCTATGCCTGAGCATGTTGAAAACCTGACTCAGGACAGACTTGCTGAGAGTCCTAGTCCCTAAACCCAACATTAATAGTATCTGACTCTGTATTAAAAGAGAATATTTTTGAGAGAATGCTTGCTTTCTTTGGATAGGAGAAAATGTTTACAAAGGCTTCCTATATTTCTTTGCTAAAGGTAAGCAGGAAGAATGTGGTGGTGTTATCTTACAAAATGTTGCTTGAAATAATCTGAGAACATGGCCGAGTGTGCCAGTGCTGATCATAGGTAGGGAAATGTGGAAAGCAAAACAAATAGTATTGTTACATTCTGAAGCAGAGAAACCAGAGTTGTTTTGCTGACACTGCAGGTATACCACATCAATTAATTCTATAGCTTCCTGACCTCTTTCTTTCCTGGGAGCGTGTGGGGGCTCAACACTGTGTGTGTGGTAGTGTATGTAGTGTAAGCAGAAGAATTAGGCATTGCTGCCCTAGAAATCTTGCTCCTGAAGTCACAAAAAAGTCTCAGAAGTGCCTTCCCTAAAGGAAGAAAATAAAAAAAGTTACTGTGAGTGTGTTTTGAAATAGCTGCAATTTACCTCTCTCCTTTCTCCCCTCTTCTTCTCTCTCCCTACTTTTAGATATGACATTGTTTTTCTTCCACCATCCTTCCCTATTGTTGCCATGGAAAACCCATGCCTGACCTTCATCATCTCTTCTATTTTGGAGAGTGATGAGTTTTTGATCATTGATGTCATTCATGAAGTTGCCCACAGCTGGTTTGGAAATGCAGTCACCAACGCTACATGGGAGGAGATGTGGCTGAGCGAGGGGCTGGCCACATATGCACAACGCCGGATCACCACAGAGACCTATGGTACAGATGCAGAAATGTTTCTCCTTATGCTATATCTAACCAGTTGTTAAGAGTTGGCTGCATAGAATATTTGTCCTGGGGGCTCAAAAGTTCGTAGGGAGCTGTTTTTTTGTTTGGTTGTTTTTTCCTATTTCTGGAACACACGTGCCCCCAGACTTTGCATTTAGCATCTTAGATGCTTAGAGTCTGATGTTATCTTGGCTTTGAGTGGAATCAATAGCTGATAAAGTAATAGGGGCTTGGGCGAGGTGTGTTAGCACAGCATTGTAAATATGCTTGTGGGAACTTTGGAATTATGGTACCAGGCAGACATTTGTATGTCAGAGCAAGGTAAGCAGAAGATGCTTCAGAGAGATATAAGATGTTTACATTGTGGACTAACTATCCTCAAGTGTCTGTCTAATCCTGATCAGCTGGTAGCTACCCACTATGGGAAAGAATGATAGCAATAGCACTTAAAAAGAAAAAAGGACACATCTGTGTAGCTGTCCGTTTATCTGTTTGAGGCTTCCTTTAGAATTGTACGGCCCTGCCTTTGCTTGTATCAGTGAATTTCACAGGTCAGACATGGTACTGTCTTTAGAATATCTTAGTAGTAAATAATTCCTACTGATTTTCAGTTTATTGGGATTTTTTGTTGAAGTGAATAATGGGAACATACACTTCTCTAGTTTGTGGCATTATGTTCTTAAAAGCCTATATCATGTGTAGTCTCACATGTCTGCTGTAAACAATCTTGGAAAAAATCCTGGAAACCTTGGCAGAGAGTGTTTAGAAAGATGCCTTTGTTTTTATTAATTTATATTGCATCTGGAGATGAGCTGATGATAATGAAGTTTAGGGAAGGAAGTGCTCTGAGCATATATGGAGAGGTTACAATGTATATTATATATTTTTGAAAGGTCTTTTATGTTAAGCAATTCTCAGTGGTTAGGTCTGTTCTTATAATGTTATATTATTCATGGCAGTGACGTGAGCAAGTCAGAAGATACTGGCTGTTCTCTATCACTTTGTAGTTTGTCTCTCTGACATAGGACAAGATCCTTGCTGATTTTGGTCTATTCTCTTGAAATTTAGAACTGCTTATTTCAAGCAACAGTTTTTCGGGAAACTAAGAAATGCCTTTCCCTGTGCCATTCTTTTGTAAGCCCTTTTTGCATTCTGTTTTGCTTCCAAGACAAACCTCTGATCTAAATCCTACCATTTCTGACATAATGTCTGGAGTATCTTCTGCTGTCAATAAAAAAGGCATCTTTGTAATGACATTGTTTACAGAAATTGGAGTCCACTAACTATTACCACACCTCTTAGATCTTGCTTAATCCTCCTTCCTGTAGCTTAAAGTAATTGCTCTTAATGGTAGCTATCCTAGTTCTTGATTTCCCCTATTAAGCACATCCACTCCTTTCTCTGCCAGTACAGATTCTTCTATCTTCCACATATATCCTGGTTCTTAATTCTTATTTTACTTATGTCAGTTTCCTGTGTATGTACATTGAGACCCTGAGACTTGCATCTCTGTAGTAAGTCCTGTTTTTGAAGTTGAAGACTTCACAAAGAAACCTAAAGTGTTAATAGTGATGGATGTTGGGTATCTTCTGAACCTGAGAATCCATTTTCCACATCTTTTTACATCTCCAGTGGCATAGGAAAGATCTCTTGACTTGCCAGTGTAATACAGCTAGTTTGGCTTGAAAGCTTGGAATGAGAGCGAAGAGCAGCCTACCCAGTCATAGCTGTAAAAAAAAAAGAAGTCCTAATCAGTGTCAGGTGTATGATACAGTATGGGTAGGATTCTAGATAAAGCTTTAAAAATAGATCCACAGGATCTGTAATATACCAACTAAATGTAACCCTTTTCTGTTTTCACCCAAGAGGTGACATTTGCTTAGTACTGTCCTTGGCACCGAATATGGAATCGTGTGTCTACTACCAGTGACATTACTTTTTTGTAGCACTTGATTGCTCCTTGAAAGTTACCTGTGTAGTACTCATTCCAATGATTGCAAGAACTGATAAGGTGATGTCAAGGATATAAACTTTAGCATAGCTTTCATGCTGCTTCAGTTCAGCCTGCTGTATAATCAGAACAAGTAAATGCACTGGTTTAGGTTCTGACTTTCATTACAGACTGCGAGTATTTTTTGCGCTCAAGTTTCTCTGCTGTTACATTACTGTGATTCTGTTCTGTTGTCTTTGACATCTTCATTGGCTTTTATTTTGTACATGTGCTACCTCTGCACAGATTAGGTTTTGCTAGTCATTTTTCCCACAACTAATAAGTTTCTTTCTCTGTAGGAGCTGCCTTCACATGTTTGGAGACTGCATTCCGCCTTGATGCTCTCCACAGACAGATGAAACTCCTTGGAGAAGACAACCCAGTCAGCAAGCTTCAGGTTAAACTAGAGCCAGGTATTAGTTTTGTCTGAAGCTGCTGTACACAAAATTTCTGTGTATTGATGCTGGAATATAGACCAAAAAAGACTATTTTTTCCATATCCCTTACAAAAGAAAGAAAAAAGAAATACTTGTTTGTAAACCAGTCTAAAAGTAAATAAGGAAACTTGCCTTCAAGTTTTCTTCAAAGTTGGATAACTCATTTTTATAAATATTGTTCTGCTTAAGAACAGAACAGACTCACTGAGTAGAGTCAGCATGAAAAACTGCCTTGAAAGCTGTGTGGTTTGAGCTTCTGAATATGTAAAATAAAGTAGCTTGAAAATGAAAATGTTTGGAGACACCATATAAAATCCTGTGCTATTAAATGTTCCTTTTTTATGTGTTCATGTAAGAACTATGTACGTATGCATAAGCATATAGATAAGCATATGTACTTGCTTTCCTGTTGAGTGAGCTGTGCAGAGGCTCTTTGGTTATCCCCTGAGCTACCTGCACATCTGCACTCCAGCATCATGTATCTTCTTCACTGATAGTTCTCTACTTCTGTGGTCACTATTGAAACTGTAAAGCAGTCTTCAAGCTAGGTGGTATTTAAAATGACCTAAAATGCAGCTGGAGGTGATACTGGAACTAAGTGGAATGGAAAAGCATGTGTTAGAAGTCTCAAAAAAGGAACAAGTAGTGATTACTTTATAAGAGTATTTTTAAAAACTTGTGGTATGGTGGCTCTCTGAATTTGGCACTTAGGGGGGAAAAAGGGATTTGTCTTTATATGCCAGTTTTCAGTGATTTCTAATTTGAAGTGACTTATTCCTTTGGGAATTAATACTGAGCTTACAATGGTTGATTTTTTTTCTTTATTCTTATTATTTTTATTATTTTAATTTTTAACTCAGCCTATGTGTTTACTGCAGTAAATTAAATGTACTGTCACAGGCTTGTTTCATTCTTAAGTCACTACATCTTGACTTGGTGATCTCTAAGGGGTCTGTATACTTGTAAGGGTTGGAAATTATTGGCCTCATTAGAGTTTCTTATAAAATTGTTGTCATCTCTTTTCAGGTGTAAATCCTAGTAATTTAATGAACCTCTTCACCTATGAGAAAGGCTACTGCTTTGTTTACTACCTGTCCCAGCTCTGTGGTGACCCAAGACACTTTGACTCCTTCCTAAGAGTGAGTGTAAATAAGCATGAGTTTCTCTTAAGATTCAGAACTATTCTCCCCTTCCCCTCACCTAGTTTTGTCCCTGTGGCTAATTGATAGGGCTAAAGTCAAATACCAGTGTGTCTGAGAAGGAAGAGTGGTTTTTGCCTGGCTGCCAACTGAGATGATTGTTTCTACAAGATTTCTCTTCAGTGAATGTACTCATGCTCCTGTCATCTCAGATTCTGAATTTAAGGGGTACTAAATACAGAGTAGTAGTATATTTTTGTTGCCTCTTGTTCAGTGTTTAAATAATAGAAAGCTGTTCCAGCATAGATTGTCTGTAACTGGAACGATGTGACTTTATTCACTACTAAAAAGTAGTAGCTTGTGGGTTTTTAGCCAGGGTGACAAAGGACATGATTTCCTGTATTGGGGCAGGTTTCGTGCCTTGAAGTACATTTGCAAAACATATAGAAAATTATGTCAGCTATTGACTTGGTTTTTGAAGTGAAACAATTCATGCAGCTTTTTCTTTTTGCTGCATGCATGCTTTTCATCTCCTCTTCCCATCCATCTTTCTCTTATCTTTAATTTTGTAAGGGTGTCTTTAGTCCGTAATTGATCAGTGAATAATACAGTGGCCAGCTGTGTTCTGACTTTCCACTAGTGTCAAGTATGAGGAGACCTTCCTGCCCTTGATATGTTGATGTATCTGTGATCTGTATCAGAAGAAGAGCTGTACTGAGCTGTCAGTGTATTTGCAGCTACCCAGTTTTTTTCTTATTATGGTGCTTTCCTCAGCTGGGGGAAGGAGGGAGAATATTTTTCTTGATTTTTTTTTTTTTTTTTTTTATTTTATTTTTTAAACCTTCCAAATGCTTGCTTTATGTTTCCATCTCTATTTTGTTTGTTGTTGTTTTTTAACTATTTTTTTTAATTTTTATTTTATTTTTATTCTATATAGAAAATATATTTATTTTATATAGGTTTATTTTTATTTTATTATTATTATTATTGTTGTTGCATGTAGTGGCTCTGCATTGAAAGGAAGCTGTCTTTCTCCTATCCATAATTTATCCCTTTTACTGTTTCAGGCCTACATTGAGAAGTACAAATTTACCAGTGTTGTTGCTCAAGATCTTCTGGATTCCTTCCTGAATTTTTTTCCAGAGCTGAAAGAGCAATGTGTTGAGAGCAAAGCAGGTAGGAAGTTTACTTAGTTAACTGTAAACACTGTAGAAAATCTGGATGGTAAATTTTGTGCTTGGTTTTGTGGGTGTATAAGAAAATTCTAAGGTAAACAGACCCCTTTGGCAACAGCCACATGTTTGTGATAGAAATGGTTGTAATTTATTGTTACTCCCTTCAGTTGGGGAATGAGAACATCTTAAATTGCTGACAATTTTGGCATTGATTAGCTGAGTAGCCCTCAGTTAACTTTCTCAGGAACTCATCTTTCATGCTGCAGACATCGTGATTACTGCATGTGAGATTTACACATGCTCAAATGCAGGGAAAAGGTGAATGCACTTTGAAATTTCATCTACTTGAATTACAGACAACTTGCTTTGAGAACTGTAACTTTTCCCAAGGTCCCACCCATGCGGATAAAATCTCTTCCATAATGTTTCACACTCTCTTACATCCCCTATTTATAGCTGTGGGTGGATTTATGGAAGGTCAGTAAACTACTAGGTGCTTATTAGCCCACTTGTTTAAAGAAATGAGACTAATGTTATCCTGCCATGTGTCCATCCTGGTAAGTAATCACTGAACCTGTTGGTTAGTTTAAACCAGACTGGCAGTGGAGTACAGCTATTAAGAACACTAGGTTCCTACAAGCTTTGTGGAGAGATGCAGATGAGCAAGCGTGCTGAAGGAAAAGCTGCAGTGTGAGCTCAGCAGTTTTATTTGGCCCACTGGTTGGCTAATGAATTAACCACAGCCCATGCTAACTTTTGCCTGGCTAATATTCAGGGGATGCAGGAGAGAACAGTTTTAGGGTGGATGGTGTGGAACAGGAAGTATTGCCAAGGGTTAGGAAAGTGCTGAGGTGGTAAAGGGTTAAGAGGAAGAGCTCCATTGGAAACCAGGCTCTGCTAGTTCTGCTGCTTTTGGAGAAACTTTTGGGTTTTTTTTAGTTATTGATTTTAAAAATACATTTACAATTGCTTGGTTTTGCTTCTGGGCAGGAGTTCAGTCAGCACCCTCATCTTTTTTTTTTTTTAACGAAGCAGGTTTTCCCCTTATTCTTCAATCTTCCTAAAAAAGTCAGAGGAAGAGAAACGCATGCACAAAAAAATCTTATATTAGAAGATTGTTTGATCACAGACACTTGTTGGCCTGGCTGTCTTAAAAGCGTGTGCATTTCTTGTACTTACCCACTGTAATGGTGAACTCTAGAGAACTCATGGTTAAATTCGGAGAGTGTTGCTGGCATTTTTCCTGGTGTAGCATAAGCTAGCCTGCTGAGGCTGCTAAGACATTAATGTTGCTGTAACTATGGGTCAGTCTGATTTGCTATTGTTAGAACCTCTCTTAACTGTACTGACCGATCCTGAGCCTTGAGGCAGCCAAGCTACCTGCAGAGCTTCCTGCTCCACATTTTTGGTGCTCCTTGTTCCAGGACTGGAGTTTGAACGTTGGCTCAATGCTACAGGACCTCCATTAGCTGAGCCAGACTTATCTCAGGGATCCAGTCTGACCAGACCGGTGGAGACGCTCTTCAAACTCTGGACCACAGAGCCTCTGGACTCTGCTGCTGCCAGCAGGGTTGACCTCACTAAATGGAGAACGTTCCAAACCGTACTTTTCTTGGACAGATTGCTGGATGGGTCACCACTGCCACGTGGTGAGTACTCTATCAGGATAGCAGAAAAGTGTTCCTGTAATAATTAATTCTAAAAAGCCCTATCCCTCATTGACCTTATCATTAACATGAAGCCAGGTTGGATGCAGCTTTGAGCAAAAAAGTCCTTTCTAACCCAAACCATTCTGAGATTTAATGATTCGTTATTCTCTGACACCCTCAAACTCAACAAAATAGGTCATAGTTCTTTCTCTGTGTATGTACTCTCTTCAGAGGTGATAAAAAAGCTTTCGGAATGTTACTCCTCTCAGCTGGACTCCATGAATGCAGAAATCCGTATCCGCTGGTTGCAGATTGTAGTCCGAAATGACTATTATCCAGACCTTTACAAAGTCCGTCGCTTCTTGGAAAACCAGGTACTAACTGCTGGATTAAAATCACTGCACCTCTCAGTGCATGAGACATGTGCATGAGAAATGCGACGTGAAAGACCTTGGAACTTCTGCTTCCTGGCCAAGTGTAGACCAGGTGTGTTGCTAAGGGGCTGAGCGTGGCTCACCTGCTAGCGGGCGGGGAGGAATGGGCAGATGTCATTTGAAATGCCTACAGATAATCTCTGCTTTTCTAGCCTAACTCGATACCTTTGTCCCAGCTCTGCCCAGTGCATTTTTTGTGTTGCTTTGTAGCAGCTCTGCCTTTTCGAGACCGGATATTTTCGCACTGCTAAATAATGTGATTGAATATTTATACTTCAGGCAAGACTAGGGCTCATCAAATTCCTTACACTAGTTTTTATTGTGCAGGAGCAAAAGGTTAATGCATGTGTTCTCTGTGGCCTCTTCTCAGTCTTTTAAAAATAGTTCTGTTATTTGTGGAAGTAGCTTAGTCTTAGAGAACAGATGTTTTTTTATTATCGTTCATAAAAATCTTTACATTAAACTTCTCTAGAATAGACTTGGCTGTCTTTTGAAGGAATGTATTGTTTCCAGTCTGAAGTCATTCAGGGCTGTTGGAGTGTAGCTGTAGGAGAGCTGAACCTCTTGACTTTGATTGAAGTGACATTATCTAGTTTTCCTTTTTTCGCAGATGTCTCGGATGTATACAATTCCACTTTACGAGGACCTTTGCACTGGCACCCTCAAGTCTTTTGCCTTAGAAATTTTTTACCAGACCCAAAACCAGCTGCACCCCAATCTTCGGAAAACCATCCAACAGATCTTATCACAGGGCTTGAATCCATTTCCTGCCATTGACACTACAGCAGTCACTACAGACACACCAGCAATGGTGCTTGAGGACAAAGCCTCAGAGGCCACAAATGGTGCCATTTCACTCAGGGATGTTAATGTGTCTGCCTAGAACACCAGTTCATGCCAGCCATGAAGCTTGAAAGTGGGGACAGAAACAGAGGAAAGATACCAAGCATCACCTCCTTTCCTTCAGCCCTGCAGCTGCAGTGTGTTGTTGTAACTGGATTTGTCTCCCAAAACACAAAGCAAATGTGCCTTCAAGTATCCAGCGTGTGACACTGCCAGATTTCAGAGACCTCCTTCAGCTGTGGGGTGGATATTTTTATTCAGTTTATACTGGGCAGAGACTCCTGGGCAGTTGCTTCTCCATGGAAAGTGGATAGTTCCCTTTCCTGAGGCTCTTCTGGATGGTTTCTCCAAGTCTGTGGGTTGGTGGTTATGGGGTTTTCAGTTGATTGCTTGCTTTCCTTTTTTTTTTTTTTTTTTTTTTTTTTGTTTGTTTGTTCTTTTTTTTTTTTGTCTGAGGCCACTGAGGCATGTCCTGCTTGCCATGTGTATGGTGCTGGAGAGTGTGTATGTGTCAAGCTGTCATTACCCTGATATTTGGACTGAAGTTCTGCAAAGGAGAGACTGAGGAATTGTTGGTGGGAGCAAACAAGTTTTCACGTTATGCTCCTTACTGTGATGGAGGTGTTGTGATTGCGAGGTAGGGGACTAATGCTTAAGTAATTAAGAAACTAATTTTAAATAGCTCCTGTTCCCCCTTGCCCCTAGGTGGCTAAATAATAATAATGGGAAACCTTATGATGTATTTGAAATCCTTCTGTAGTTAACCCTTCCTTCAGTTTTCCCTTTACACTCAATGGGAAGGGCAGTAAAGAAATGTGTAGGCTTGAATTTTCAAAAAAGTTAAAATCAGGTGCCCAAAAGCCATCAATTCTGGTACTAGCTGGATGCCTAAATCTTTTTAACTTTTGACAAGTCTAGCTGCAACCTTTGTGTGTTAGGATGTGTAGCACATGTGTTTGTCCCATGCACTCTATCTTCTATTCTGTCCTTTTGGAAGAATTAACAGGACCTTTAATTTAAATTTGGGTTTTCTTTGTTTGTTTGTTTTGAAGATCCCTAGTATAAATTAGGCCTGTAAGTCAACCATGGAGATTGTGCTAAATTTTACTGCCTTGAATAACATTTGTCCGAATAACAGTTGCCCTGTCATATGATAGCATGAGGGAAGCACCCTCGTTTTTGATAGAAGACTTTTAAGCCCTGCTTTACTCAAGTCTGTTTTCTGACTTGTGGTTGTGGTGGTAAGATGCCATTTCATTTACACAGCATGCTATTTCTCTTGCTCACTGGCCAGGCATGCCAGATGGGAAGATACTCTCTTCCATCTGCACCATTCAGTCTCAGGAAGGGGAGGGCAAAGCATTGTTGGGTATTAGAGAGTACACCTAGTGGTTCTTAAGACTGCACCACATCGTTTCTAATGTGTGAGTACCTGTGTGCCACTCAGTGAGCACCCACAAAGCATCTCTGAGCTGATGTATCACCAGGATAGAGAACTAGTTGGAATGAAAAGTGAAACATTTGGAAGAGGCTCAGCTAAAGGAGATGTGAGAAAAAATATATATAATTTGGGGCAAATTTTATTTTAGCCCTGCTATGGGGATCTACATAGCACAGGAAGAGGGGAAATTAGGGAGTTGTTTTGTTTTTTTTTGTGGGGTTTGTTTTGGGGTTTTTTTCTTTTTTGTTTTGTTTTGCCTTTGTTTGTTTTGTTGGTTTTCTGTTTTTTTTTTTTTTTCACAGAAACTATCTGTTTACACCCATGTGTGGATGGGGACTTAGGTGCTGTTACTGGATCTGCATTTTCTGGCTTTAAATTAATTTGGACTTCACCATAGCCTTAGCCTGGGCTGAACTGGGATAAAGCAATAATGAACTCAGGCCTCTCTAGTGCTTCATAGTTTTTAAAATGGGTCATCAGCATTGTTAGGCTTCAGAACTCCAAGCTCTGCTCTTTGTTTCTTGAATCGGGATTATCCTTTTAATTCCCTCTTTTTTTCCAGAAAGGACGGAGAATGATGCTTTCTGCACAAATCTCTTTCTGTTTGTTGTTCTATTGAATGAGATCTGTGCAAGCTGATTTTCCACTTCCCAAGTTACCACTGTTGGTGTTGCGTCTCCTGGTCCCCACTGCTAGCAGCAGCAGCCCAGCCAAGACCAGTAACCACTAGCAGCTTTTGGAATCCCAGGGCTCCACTGTAACATGTCATGGAGAATATATGTGACACATTGGTGGGGAATTTTAAATTTACATGGATGCCTTATGATGATTGTCAAATTAAACTGAGCTTTGTGACAAGTTTAGTCTTTTGGGCAGTTTTTCAGCATCCCTGCTATGGATATGTGGAAGAGCTAACTTGGTACATTGTCTTTGTTTTGTCTTTTTCTGGAGTGCAACATAGAGGGAGTTTGGAAGCTATTTAAGAGCTGAACAGCAAGAAGTTGGAGAAGTTGTAAAAGCAAATAATCAAAAGTAAATATTGTTACTACAACTGACTGAAATACATCAGATCAACTGTGTTTGCATATACATGCATCAATGCAGGGAAATGTTGGCTGAACCTAATAGACTGTATTTCTTGATTAAAGAACATGAAATCTAAGTTAGTGTTTCTGCTTTCATCTCTGAGAACCCAACAGGTGGCTATTTTCATAAGGCTTGTTCTCTGAAACGCAGCAAGATTTGTTGTAAGCATTCTATGCATCCTTCTTCAGGTACTCTTGCTCCTCCTGTGAACAAGGAGTGCATTTTTATTTTGAAGAGTTGAAAAATTGGCAGCAAGTTTGTGGAGATAAGCCTTCCTTTTGTTGACACAAATTAAATTAATGCTTCAGGCTACTTTCTGGCCTGATTTGTAGTAGATTTCACATTGACAGGCAAATTAGACTGAGATTAAATAGAAACTATCTATTTGCCTTTGGTATGTTCATTTCTGAGCTGTTAAAGTAAGATTAGTACAGCAAATTGGTTTTATTTAAGCAGATGCCAAGAAATAGGGTTATCTTTATTATATTGAAAATGAAAGCTGTTACTTTATTTCATTGCAGCTTTGAGCAAGGCAACACGGGACCTAAAAATACTACTTGTGGAAGAGCTCTGAAGAGCCAAACCCTTCAATAAAATGGAATATGACTTTTTTTTTTAGCATTTTGTAGCCATGTTGGTTAATACATTAAGTATAATTGTTATTAGCTACACATATTACTCTGTCAAGCTTATATCAGTAATCTTGCTGTCATGATATGTTGCAACATCCTAACCATGCACTTCATTAACCAAGCACAATTTTAAGTAAGCATTCCAAGCGTTCTCATTTAACCCAAATTTTCTCATGTTCTTGCACTGCAATGACCTTGGACATTGCCTTTTCCAGATAACACAGGATCTTCTGTACATCCATACTAAGCACGTGTATTGCACAGTTCACTTAAGTTCACTTCAGTGTGTTTTCCCTGTTTGTGTGTGCTCAAAGATAAAACACCACAATACAGTCAGCTCTTACAAATCACGTAACACTTGTTTTCACACTTTTTACTATAGATTGATAAAAGCTTAAGGTCATTATGATGACAGTATCAGACTTTGTGTACAAAAGAAACCACAGTAGAAATCAAGCCACTATCCTCTGAGACACAGAATTACTTTTTCTGTTGGGAGGACCGAACTTAAATGACACTGAGTTTGCTGAAGCCTCAGGTAAGTTGTTTTAGCTTTTCATTACCTGCATTCCTAAAGCTACATGCCTAATTTCTAGTTTGGATTTGTCTAGTTTCAGCTTCTGGCTCTCAAAGCTGCTGCTTTGTTTGAGAAACATAAACTGCTTACTGTTACTAAACTCTTTCCCATGTAAGTACCTCTTAATTCGTAAAGAAAACAGATGGAGTTGTTTGGTCTCTTGCTGCAAGGTATGTCTTCCACATTTTATGTATTGCTTTAGCTCTGGGGTGAAACATAATGTTTCAGCATCCTTTGAAAGTGGAAATTGCACACTTTCTCAAAAATTACCTTATGCTGCTGTGTATTTTGCACCACTTAAAAAATCTTTTATTAATATTGTGCACTTACCCTATTTTCCATTAATTACATTAGTAATCTGGGCAACAGTTAAAGTATGTCTTACATGAACACAGCAGCCTTTTGTTTTATAGATAAAGAAGTGTAGAGAAAAAGCTAATCTGTACTCTGGAGATGACTGTTCACTCTATACAGAGGGGGACTAGCTGGTTGCATTACGTGGCTGAACCTGTATGAACGCTTCCCCTGACTCTATGTGCACCTTCTGCACTGGAAAAAATCAAGTCTTATACCTCTGATTTCTTGTCAAGAGAATTAGGGTTATGTTGAACATAGTGTGCTTTCTGCCATATAGGGAAGGTGTTACACTAGTGACAAGTCTCTCTGAAACTTAAGAAATGGCATTAATGGGTTTTGCAGAGTATTTGACCCTTTTCTAAACACATACTTGGGTTTTGAGGAAGAGTGGGAAGTGATAGGAAAGGAATGGGATATTCTTCATGCTGTTATGATTTGGTGTAAAGTGTCATGGTTTAAGTCATACCCAGCTGACAATCCAGGTGTGTGACCTTAAATGTATGACTAAGCTTTGTGCATTGTTTTAATTTAGGTGTCTTGTACCACCTTGTTCTTGTGTGCTGCGGTAGCCAGCATGGAAGTTTGGAGCTCTGCTCTACCTCCTAGAGGTCTGCCTGAGGTAATGAGGGAGATGTTTGCCTAGCAGTGGTAATCTTCCTCAGGCCAAGCTGCTCTGGAAGAAGATGAGCCTGTCTTCGCAGTAGCTGCAGAGAGCACTGTGATACCAGGCTGCTTCTGGCTGACTGACGAAAACCATCAGAGACTTCCAAACCATGCTCTTCTGAGCAAAAACCCCAAATGCCCCCCCCAAACCTCCCTTAAGCAAAATACCATTCTGTGCAGTTCCTCTGACACTGCTCCGACCACTGTCAGCCGAGCGGTATTGCAGGAACTAAGCTGTGTATGAGGATCCAAAGAATGTGAAGAGCTCCCCAGTGCATTTGAACAGCTTCTGTGGTGTGTCAGTTTGCAGAAACAAACACACGTGTTGTGCCCAAGCACCATTGCTCGATCACTTTTAACCTTCTCCCTGTCCTTGGACCATCTGGAATTGGAGACAAAAGCAGACACGAGGTGGTGAAACCCCCAAACTGGAAAATTATCATGAAAGTCTCAAAAACTACTCTGTCAAAGAATAGTCTTCATTCATGTGGAAACAAGCTATTTAACTGGCTGCAAATCCTTTTTAAATGTTTAAATTCTCATAGTAAATGGACACAACTTCTTGGAAGTCTGCTTTCTTCTTTCACAAGGAATAGGAGGAACCTAAGTAAAGTGCACTGAGAAACAGATCAACAAAAAGGCAAGTGTCATTTTGTCTTAAAATATGCTCTTCAAGATTTACTGTATAAATAGACCTGTGTTTTTGTCTTCAGGAGTAGTTTAATCCAGCAGGATTGCCAAGAGGCCACAGAGAAAATTCTCTGCTGCTTTTGCTCCCAGAAGTTTGGGGTCAATAGACAAAAAACCCACCCATTGCCAGCTGCATAATGTATGAATTTGCCAGTTTTGAACTTTGCAGTGAGGCAAGGAAAGCATGTCAGATAGAGACCAAGATAATGTCCATCTCTTCTAATAACATCATAAATAAATACTGTTACATGTGTAACTAGTTTACTATTCCAGATTGGATCTACTGTATTTACAGTTAGAGCTCAATATTCATATTGCTTTCTAGAATCTTGCGTTTAATGGAATTTATGCAGTTGTGACCTGTGACTGCTGTTGCCTAAAGAGCACAGCAAGGGTGAAATCATGCAGATGAGAGCCTCACTGTTCCTGACACAGAGGCCTTGTTTGTCTTTTCCCTCCCTGAACAGAGCCCTCCTGTGTCAGCTCAGTTGCAGCCTGTGCAGCTGCAGCTTTCTTGCATGAGCCGTAGACAAGAGAGGTCCTTATTCTTACTGATGGCAATGTTTCCTTTGCTCCTGAAAGGGTGGAAACATCCAATGTGAAATGTCTTTGTTGATTAAATTTGCTGTATGCCTTAGGTCTGTGCAACGAGCATAAGTAAGGGGCCGAGAATGTCAGTCTGTGGTTAGACAGCTACTACAGTTACCTGTGTTTGTTTCTCCAAGGCAGAGGTTCGAGAGGAGGATTTCTGCATTCATTTCTGGAAGAAATGAGTCAGACCGGTGTGTTCTGTGGATCTCTTTCATTAAAACAACCTCCCTGCCCAATGACCAGGTAACATAACCCTTAGATTTGAACCCATCATTATAGGTGAGTGTGAAAACCAGCTTTTTTTGTAAGCATCATGTCCTTTCACATCGGATCAGCACCTGCTTATTTGACCATACTTGTGTAAGAGGCCCAAATGCAAAAAAAAAAACCACCCACCCTAACCCCCACCCAAAACCACAAACAAACAAAAAGGCAGCCTTGTTTTGTTTTTTGTTTTTTTTATTTATTTCCTTTGGCATTGTTTGTTTCTAGCAAGTCAGTATTTTTTAATGTATTTTTTTCTTTATTCGATGAGGCAGTAATAGCTATCAAAGTATGAGAAGCAATGTTATTTCCTTTGTCAGTTCAGCCCTTGGACAGTTATTAATGATCACAGAATGGTTTGGGTTGGAACAGACTGTAAGGATCACCCAGTTCCAACGCCCCTGCCATGGGCAGGGACACCTCCCACTAGACCATGTTGCTCAAACCCTCATCCAGCCTGGCCTTGAACACTGCCAGGGATGGGGCAGCCATGGCTTCTCTGGGCAACCTGTTAGTCTCACCACTCTCAGTGAAGAGCTTCTTTCCAATATCTAATCTAAAGCTACCCACTTTCAGTTTAAAGCCATTCCCCCTTGTCCTATTCCTACAGGCCCTTGTAAAAAGGCCCTCTCCACCTTTCTTGTAGGCCTCCAGTAGGCACTGAAAGCTGCTCTAAGGTCTCTCTGGATTCTTCTCTAGGCTGAACAACTCCAACTGTTTCATACCGTCTCCACAGAAGGAGGGCGCCAGCCCTCATCCAGGTAGTGACAAACTACATGAATATGTGATCTTCGCTGTTGTGTCGGAAAATGACTTTGTGAGGGCCCACAATTTCTCAGGCAGTTTTTGTCACAACCTTGGCTTCGTTTTCCTCACCCTCCTAAGGTTCAGCTAAGCTAGGTGACCGTTAAGCTTTCCTCCTCCTGCTCTGAGGAGGAGAACGTTCAGTTTCTTCCAGCTATTCCCGAGTGCAGAACACCGCCCAGGCTCGCCGGCCCCGCACTGCCGTAACCTCCCTGCCACCTCCTTCTAGCGGCCACCACCGCCGCCCGCGGGGCACGCTGGGACCTGCCCTCCCCTGCTCCGCAGGCCGCGTCGGATTGGTGGTGCGTGCACCACGTGCTCGCCCGCCGCCTTCTCATTGGTTAGCGGTACGATCCGTTAACTGCGGGCTGGGCGAGAGGCTGAGCGGCGGTGAGTGTGTCCGGCGTTGCCGCGGTAACGGCAGCCCCGGGCATGGCGGCGGGGAGGTTGCCGCGCTGGAGAGGGGGATACGTGTGCAGCGGTGGCCGGGTTGAGGCCCGTTGTGGTGAAGGGGGTCGTCGTGTGTGTGTGTGTGTGTGTGTGTGTGGCGAGGGTATGTCTCGAGAGGAAGAGGAGGTGTGTGTGGAGAGCCCCTTAATAGGGGTGGTGTGAGGGAAAGGGGGGGTGGTGGAGGGGGGACTTGTGGGGAGGGTGTGCGGGGCCTGGACTAAGAAGGCTTCTGGTGTAGGTCACCTCAGAGATTCCCCCTTTCTCTTTTCCAGCAGAGCTGGGGACTTCTAGGGTGGTATCAGGTGCTGAAAGAGACCGGCAATGGCGTGGTGCAGGGTGCTCCGCGGAAGGAGTAAGAGACTTTTTGTTCCTAAATAAATCTTTGCTTTTTGTTTCTCAGTTACAATTCCCGAGTAACGCTCACTTGTGTTGTAGGTTGGTGCTTGGCAATATAGTCTTGGAAATAGCCGGCAAAGCTACCTAAGACTGTGTTGAAAATGCTGGGAGAGAAAAGGCAATTAATTGTGAAAAGAGACCTTTATACAGACCCCACGTTTCCAGCCAGTGATACCTCTTTATTTTTTGATTATTCTACCCCACTTGCACAGTTCAGAGGCAAGATCTCTTGGTTGAGACCTAAGGTGAGTTTTATGGTATAAAAGACTGATTTTAGCAGAACTGAACTGTAAGGTAGTAAATGCTGGTTAGCAGTGAGTGACTGGTTTTGGGTATTTTAATTGTTTAGAAATACAGAAGTGATAAAACTGATGAATGTCAGTGTTGGCGATACAGGAGTTATGCTATTTAATTCTGGGTGCTTGTTTGTAGGTTTGATTTAAATCCTGTTGAACTTTTGGATTTCATGGCACTAGTAGAAATTCAGATATTTTATGTTTCATTATGCAAATAATGTGCATACTGAGTTAAAGAAACAGCGTAAATGTCATTCCCAAATTTTTCAATTATTGCATAGCAGTCTTGAAAACAAATAACTGGATTTTTGAGTTTTCAGAAAGATATTGGTTTTTTGTTGTTTTTTTTTTTGTGATTATTGATTTCTTTGAAAACATGAAATAAAACTTTTTTAAGGTTATAATGTCATATGACTTGTATTGCTTTTAAACTTGCAGCTGGGTTTCAGAGCAGGTCATGTGAGAGCTAAAAAGTTTAGAATGCGTTTTTGCAGTACATTCCTTTAAAGTGTTTATGATACCTCCTTTGTGAGGGGGGAAAACAAAAACGATATAAAAATGTAACGGAGAAGAGACATATGTTGGTTTTAGTGGTATTGTTTTTCTTTGCCTCCATCTGGGGATGGCAGTAGAACTGTGGTAGAGCTGACAGATAGAAATGGCAAACAAACTACTTTGTGGAGCCCTGTGTGCAACTTTCTGCTTTTGTACCTTGCACCTTGATTAGTCCTGAGGGCTGATCAGTTAATTTCCATCTCCCGCTGTTCTCTCACTCTTAACACATGAGAGAACTCATTTTCAGATCGAATTAAGTGTTCAGGACTTTGCATTTGGAGTTAACCTCTTTTGCTATCAAGTAATCTATTTGCCCTAGGAAAGGTTTTTCTCTTATGCTAATTTGGAGATTTTTGACACTTGGAATGTGCAGTTCAATCTGAATGGCATCGGTTTTATCACAGTTGTTTGTATGTCCATTAAGGAACTGATGAATTATCTTGTCTTTCACTTCTTGTTGCCTCTGCTAAGGCTGCACATGTTGGTGACATTTGTGTACTAAAATTCATGTGGGAACTAGATTTGCCTCACACAAAGTACCAGTAAATTAGCCACAAGGCAGTAATTTGTTACTGCTTGCTTAGGCTGTGTCTGAAAAGACAATTCCCTTATTTTGTGAGATGTCTCTGGAGCCCTCCCATTCCCTGAAGCACAGACTTCCTTAGAACATCATGCAGGATTTGACTTTCATTCCCCATCTTCTGATTTTAGGACATTTGTTCTGCTCCTCGGTTATTTTCAAGCAATCTGCAGGATGTGCAAGTGAAACAAGGGATATTGGGAGACTGTTGGTTCCTGTGTGCCTGTATAGTTTTGCAGAAGAGTAAATACTTGCTGAACAAGGTATAGAGAAGATGCTTATTTCATGTTTTGTAAGGTTGTTTTTTTTTCATCTAACTCACATTTGCATATTGTTCTCAAATTCCAAGCCTCCGTGAGTATCACTTTTGTCATGCTCAGTTTTACTGTTTTTGATGTGGTAGTTTTCCTGTGATTATTTACAAATGGTTGATATTCAGTATATTTAAACTGGCTTTGCTTAAAAAAAACCCACCAACAAACAACAAACAAAACCCGAACAACAAAAACAAAAAACAAAACCCCAAACAAACAAAACGCATCCAGCACCACCACCAAAAAACAACCTGGAACACAATTATTAGTCTTCATTTTGGGTTTTGCCGTCTAGGTAATCCCTCCAGGTCAGCCCAGCTGGACAGATGAGTCATATCAAGGCTGCTTCACTTGTCGAGTCTGGCAGTTTGGACACTGGGTGGAAGTGACCATCGATGACCGTTTGCCTTGCCTTGGTGGTAAACTCTGCTTTTCCCAGTGTCAGACCGAGGATTTGTTTTGGCTTCCACTCTTGGAAAAAGCTTATGCAAAGTATGTGAATACTGTTATTTGGGCAAGTAAAGGGAGGTACAATACAATACCTTCTGCTTACTTATTTTATCTGACTCTTTTGGGCATAGATATATGTATTATTCAATAGAAAGTACAATGGCTGCTAGCTTTCCCGTACTGGGCTGTGCAGAAGTTGTTCTTTAAGCTGTAGATCTGTAAGGTACAATTCTGGTTGCATATGAGGTAAGATAGTGTTAGGGAGAGAATTATGATGAAAAGTAAGAACTGCAATGAATTATCGGGATTCAAATGACGTTCATTAAGCTGCTATCCATTGGTAATATAATTTATTAAAGGGAAGTATTTTGCTAGTGAGGACAGCAGTTGAGGACAGTTGAGGGATCAATGGAAAGCAGAAAGTGTGCAAATGTATTAATGGAAAGCAGCAACATTTAAAAGTTTATGCTAGTTAAGGCTCTGGTTGTGTGAGTTTCATTGCTCACTTAATATGATAGTTTATTATTTTGAGAAGAAAAGTTTGTCTTATTAATGTGTTTGAAAATGCAGCTATTTCATGTTTTATGACACATCCGTCAAAATGCTGTCCAGGTGAGCAAAACAATTTGGACGCTAAGTGTGCTGGTAAGATAGACATCGATGTCCAAGAGAACTAGGACAAAAGATAGTGGTTGCCAGCAGAGGGCAGAAAAAGACCTTAGGTATGAAGTAGTTCAACTGTAGATGCATTGAGCAGTTGTGAAGCAGCAATGGCAAGTTAAAGCTTCTCTATAGGTTTGAAAAGTAATATTCTTTGTTTTCTGTAGAGATCTTATAATTCTATTATGGTCTTGATTTCTTTTGCTGTCTTTTGCATCTGCTACATCAGGTAGGGTAGTCGCTCGATTTACTTAAGCTGTTGTATGAAGTGCTACTGTGGTGGCTTATGCAGAGTGAACAAAGAATAATTGAAGAGAAAAAAATGTTATACAGAATGCAGTTAGTGTATCACGCCAGGTGATACAGACCATGGTTAATAAGGTACAAGTAACTGCTACTTCTAAATTATAGCAGTTTCTGTGTAGGATACAATGAATTATAATAAACTTCCCATCAAACAGTGGGATTTCTGATGGCTTTCACATTCTTTAGATGATGTATAAATAAAATAGTATGTGCTTTCTCTTGTCTGCTTGCAGATACGAGGTAGGGTACAGTCGTGATTGTGATACAGAGTTGGGTTGTATGTATGTAAGAACTACGTTTCTTTAGTTCTGTTTGTAGATTTTTTTTTTTTTAATTTTTAATTTTTTTTAGAGTGCATGGATCTTACGAACAGTTGTGGGCAGGACAGGTGGCAGACGCTTTGGTGGATCTGACCGGCGGAATTGCTGAAAGATGGACCCTAAAAAGCCCTGGAAGAAAGATGGAGAAAGAGAAGTCTGGCGTGGTTTTGGAGAAAGATGTGTTTAGAAGATTAATGAATCTGAAGGAACAGTGTGTAATAAGCTGCTCAGTCCTCGATTCCAGACAAGGTAATAGACATTTTTAAAGTAAATGTCTCTATTGAACAGGGTTCAGAGCACAAGGAAGCCAGCAAATGCATGGTGCTGATTCTAGTACCATATGAGTTTTATGGTGCGTTTTCATGTAAGTCTTGGATAAATAAACATTTGCGGATGTTATTGAGCTCAGGATAGAGGGTGCTTTTGCGGAGTGCTTTTTATATTAGATACTAATATGGTCACTTCTCAAAGACAAACACGCCCCATACCTCCCCAAAATGCTATCTAAAAAACAACCTTAGAAATCCCAATAAATTTCAGCACTGAGAATTTTATAAATGTTGGAGATCAAGTAGTAAGTTAATATGCTTTAAAATTTCAATTTATTTTATTTCTACATAGTAACAACTATAGTGAACTGTTCAGGGGTTTTTTATGCTTTTTTTATACAACTTCCTTTTGTCTCAAAATTGCCTTCTTTCACAGGATAGTTTAATGTCATTCATTGTAAAATGTGGAGCAGGTTCTTTTGTTTGCTTTCAAATGCCTTTTTTTTTTTTTTTCCCTGTTTTAGGTGCAAGCGAACTAGGAGAATTTCATGCCTTTATTGTGATAGACATGTTGAATGTGTCTGAAGTGTCAGGCAAGGAAATCTTTCTACTTCGAATACGAAACCCTTGGGGGAGGCGGTGCTGGAGAGGACCCTGGTGTGAGGGGTGAGTAGGTTTATTTTCATTTGGAAATTCGTTTGTGAAAGTAGTGAAGCATGAAGTGTATCTGTGTATTGCGTAGGCAAATACTGCTAATAGGCAGCCCATTGCTTGCAAGGCTGGGCATTTTAATTAGTTCTGGTAATCTAGATTTCTTAATAAGTTTTGATGTTTTGGTAAATAACAAAAAAAAATCTTTTTGCAGAGATAAACTTAAGATGTTGGGTGGGTTTTGTGTTTTTTTTTTTTTGTTTTTGTTTTTTTTGTCTCCTAATTTTGTGGTGCTTTTTGGTTGTTCTGCAATTGATCTAAGTATCTTTGCTTGTGACTGTGACTTAAAAGTAGCCACTTGGCTTTACTTGGCTCTTTGCATTTGATCTCGTTTCAGTTGCAGAAAACAAGCAAAGGAGTATGTATAAAGCAAAATATAGCAGAAGAAAGGATGCATATGTTTGTTTTTCTTGTGTGCTCTCATTTCTGTACATTAATATGGGTGGGTGAAGCTGGAATGGAGTGGATACAAAGTAGATAAAAGGTAGAAATGCAGAAATATGTTTAGCGGTTCACATAGCAAAGTAACAAGAATGAAAGGGCAGACCCTACTAACTTATTTTGAAAAGTTAACATATTTTGACTGTGCAAAAGAACATGCAGTTCTTGACCCAAGGAGCAGGCTTTCAGCATTAAAATATGGTAACATTACTTGAGGCTTAAGTTGATGCATTTTGGTTTTGGCAGAGTTTTATATATACACTTGGTCTCTTGTAGTTTCTTTGCAAAACAGTAAGCTGCCATGTGGTTTCATAGGATAGTGTTTCTATCCTATGGCTTTAAAGCCCTGTTTTGTTCAAGTACAGAACTGTTCTTTGTTGTTAGTGCAACAGTAAAAATGTTGAAAGTACTTTTCATGGGCCCTAAAAATTGGAATGTTTAAATTCTTGGTTTATCATGACTTAGCCAGCAGAGTCGTGGAGATAACCAGCTGCTTCACACAGATGGTGTTTTTTTGATGTTCACTGCACAGCATTAACATTTTTTTTTCAGAGGAGTCCCTGTGCAGCTTGCTTTAGTTTTTTGTCACTATTTTGAGCAACTGTTAAAATCTTTATTTTGCTCTCTCACTTTGGACTGTACTGTCTGTTGTTAGCAAAGTAGCTGTTTCACCTAGAAGTGTGTTCTGTATCCAATCTGGCATAAGGTTCTTTCTAACTTTTCTTTGATACTTTGTGATTCATACTTTCTGTTATCCCTCTTGCTGACTAGCAAGGTGCATACAGAAATATTCAGTGCAAGAATTTGACTATGAAATGAAGAAACCTCTTCTTATTGTCATACTCCATAGGATAGTTGATATTTATAACATTGTTCTAGAACTTTATTGGGCAAAGAACTAGATGTTAACTTTTGTCTTATGTGTAGTGGTCAAGGATGGAGTCGGCTCGATCCAGTCGTTGCCTCAAAACTGCTCTCACAGATCCAAGAGGGAGAATTCTGGGTTGATGAAGAGGAATTTTTCAGGGAATTTGATGAGATTACCATGGGCTTTCCAGTAAATGAGGAAGGACAACTTCAGAGCCTCTCTACAGGTATGGTACGAGAAATATCTTTCTTGTGCAAATAATGTTATGTATTGGGAAAGACTGATTTGAATTGCAAATGGGTGCAACTATACCACAATTTCTCAGTCTTTCCCTTTTGTTTAGACCCGTAGGCCTTCCCTTTCCTACTGGGAAGAATAGAGGGAAAAGAGGAATTTGAAGATTTTTAGGTATTTCTCTGAAATCTGGTTACTTCTAGTTTTGTGAGAGATTAGTGTTCTCAATCTAGAAGGCTGTTGTTCTGGATAGCCTTGTAATTTTTATTTTTTGAAATGGGAGATAAACTTCATATTTCTAGAATCAGTTTCTTGTTGTAAATATGTCATCGATCTGCTAGTACCAGCTGTGACCTTAATCTCATGCCTCTCAGTATTTCCATTATAAATATCTGCTTGGAGAAAGTGTAAGGGCTACAACAGCATGTTTTCTTGGGCTTGGGGACTTTTGCTATGTATCTGTTGTATAAAATTAAGTAGCCTCTGGTGTCTGAAGTCTGCACCATGTTTTTCTTATTTTGCTAGGGAAAGTGCTGTATCACTCTCAGAATCTCTTTGGATCCTGGGTGAGAGGCCAGTCTGCCGGTGGCTGCCGTAACAACAGCAGCTTCCCTACCAACCCTAAGTTCTGGCTGAGAGTCTGTGAAAAGAGTGAGGTGTGCATTGCTCTGCTGCAGAAACATAGGAAATACCATGCTGACTGGGCTGGAAGAATTAAAAATCTGACTCACTTAGCAGAGGAAAATCTATCTTTGACTGAAGGCATACAGGGGAAGAATTACCAGGCTGTGGGATTGCATGTCTGGAAGGTAATATGGCAGCAACATTTTTCTTTTTGCAAATAGAAGTTTTAAAGCATTACTGAAACAGCTGAATAAAATAATTCATTTCCGGTGGCAGTGATATGATTCAGCTGTTCACATCTTTTACATCTCTGATTTATGTTAGAATGATGTCTCAATGCAGTTACTGTCTGTAAAAACTATTTATGGACTAGTACTTTCTTCTCATCACTAAGTGCCAAGTAGCAGAAGTTTTTGGACTGTGCCACACTAGTGCCGAAACTTAACCTGACATTTCAGGCTGATTATATGATGACACTTTGTAAATTTAGCCCTCCTGAATAGTGACTCTTCCTGCTGCTCTTTGATGTCCAGCTTATCTGCTGATACTCTGTTCCTTACTTGTTTTCTTTTGTAAATGTATGCATGTTTTAAACAATACTTGATTGTCTTTAGTTTTAGTAAAAACCTCCTAATTTTTCCTAAACCACCACACATCATTATGCATCTATTCTAGGTGGAGAAGAAACGATTTAATCTTCCAAAGACCCTCTCTGCTCCCCCAGTTGTAGGTACTGTCTGCCATTCCTATGACAGAGAAGTACATGTATGCTGTGACCTTTCGCCTGGGTTTTATCTTGTTGTTCCCAGCACTTTTCTGAAAGATGCAGTAGGGAATTTCTTGCTTCGAGTATTTTCAACAGGAAGGATCTCTCTCAGGTAGGTTTAAACCAGAAAACTTCTTACAGCTGTTGACATAAATATATGAAGTATAGCACTAAGCTTAAATGTTCAAAATGTTTAGAAGGGTTGTGCGCAGTACCAAATCACAGTGTTTTATCTTTGAATTCATGTAAGTAGTGTTCTATCTCCTTGGATTTTACATTAAGCTGCTAGAACCTCTTGTTAAAATATCAGTCAGAAGGAGTCAGATGAATAGCAGCCTGACTGTAAATTGCCACCTCATGTTTTGAGGAAGTGTGTATTTGGTAAAAGAACTGAAGAAGTTTCTGTAGGATGTGTTTCTCAATATGTGGAAGTTCTTTCTTAATGTATGGAAAAAATGAAGATGTCCCATGGAAGTTAAAAGCAGCTGTTATTATTGCAGTCAGCGACAGAAAAGAGGAGTAGTATGTTATCATGTATGTCGGAAAACATTAACAGATTGCCTGACATATGACAATGTTATTGGTGAGCAGTACAGCTTCAAATGCAAATGGAGCGTCAGCAAGGTACTTGGATGGCATAATGACCACAGCTCATAAATTGTGACACAAAATAGACTTTTATAAAAGGCTTGGAAAATCTTTTCTTTCTGTTTAACGCTGCTTGCTTACCCAACAGAAAATATCAGCAATGGCAGTAAGCTACATGCAGAGGCAAATCATACTGTTGGCAACATGTTTAAAAGCTCCTCAAATTTTTAAATATTCTGGTAGCAGACTATCAGCTCACATCTCCTTGGAAAGAAGGTGGCAAATCACACTGCAAAGCCAGAACATGCATTAATCGTTTACTCTTGAATTTGGAAGCAAGGTGGCATCAAGTTCTAGACCAAATAAAGGTCTGCAAAATTGAGGCTAATTTTGCTGTATGGGTGCAAGCTGTGTATTACTTACTGGCAATATATTTAGTTTCTGGACATATGAAATCTGTAGAACATATTGCTCTTTCGGTGATGGGATAAAATTCCTCATACTGCTGTTACGTGTAACGCTTGCTCAATGTGAGTCTAGAATGAACCGCCTATTGTAACATCTGTTACATGTTCTCAACTTGAAACTTGGAAACAAGAACAGATAATATGTTTCAAGTTATGCTGAAACATGGTTTCAAATGTTGCACAACTGGTAATGATACTGCTTTGTTCATATGGCTGTATGAAGTGTTGCTGGGTTGGATTGAAATAGGATTGACAATACAGAGATCAAGTCAGGTAAAATGGTAGTTTCCTTTGATTAAAGATGGTATAAAAAAGAATGCAGTGTAATCTTTGGACTTACTGAGCTGCTCAGATGTACTCCAGAAGACACTGTCAGCTGTGTCACTTTTGAATAGGACAAAATAGCACAGGGGTATTGAGTTAAAATATGTAAGATACATTACTTCATGAATGTACAAAAACCTTACCTTGTTTTGGTGCATGGTTTGTATTTGCTGTGTTGTTCTTGTGGAGTTCTCTGAATTATCTAAGAATTTAGAGTTGTGCAGTTCTCTTTTTCTCCCTACTGAAAGTTTGGAGGAATTGTATTCCTGTAAGTTTATGTAATACTAGTTAGTTTTTGTGAACTGGTGTACTAGATTTTGTGAAACCATGCAGGTTTTATACATCTTAGTTTCTTTTCTCTCTTGTATTTGATAGTGAGCTAAAGCCACCTCCCACAGATGGTACCCTCTGTGAAGAGCTCCCAGCAGGTGAATGGGAGACAGTGCAGCTGCATGGATGCTGGAAAAATGGGCAAAGTGCCGGAGGCAGCAGGAACTTCCCCTCCTTCCATACCAATCCCTGCTTTCCATTCTCAATTCCTGCAGGACCAGGAAAAAGCAGTGTGAAAGTTACCCTCCGTCAGCACTGCCAAGATAGCAAGTGTTGTCCAATAGGTTTCCATATTTTCCAGGTAAGACTTCTGGTCAGTTTGATTGCTCATTTGCCAAGTTTGGGGGTAAGCCTGTTGGGCAGTTCACTGCTTTGCACTTTGCAAGGGACCTGCCACTTCTTTGAGAAACACAGGCTGATCCTGTGAAGTATTGCCTATGAAGGATATGGAGTAACTCCAGTTACATAGTGTAGTAAACCAGATAATTGGCTCCACTGAATCCTTCCATTGTTCTAAATTAGTTTTAGAAATTATGAACTCTTGAGGATTTGCAAAAATTTCTGTCTTGGTGATTGAGGAGCAGACTTTCTGGTGATTCATCATTAAGATTTACTTTCTTCATCTCTAATAATTATTTATTTGTCCATTGGCAAGTTGATGTGGGATCTGCAGACAAGATTAGAATTCAGAAGGGCTGTCATATGTTGAACGGATGATCTGAATGAAAACAAGCTATCATTTGGTGTAGACAAATACACATTCTACATGTATGTGCCAGTACTCAACTGCATAAACGTAGGATGGGAAGCTTCTGGTTGGGTAGCTATATTGCAGGGAAAGCTAGCTTTATTTTTTGGAAACATGCTCAAAAAAAGGTGTTGCTTAACTGGAGAGTCTGGAACTGAGCACTGTGAATGATCATCTAGCTTCAAATATACAATATGTGAAGAAAGACTGGCATTTTCCATGCTTCTAGGAGCATGGAAAGTCTACTATGAAACTTTAGGATAGGAAAGAGCACTAGAAAGAGGTGGGGCAGTCTGCTCACCATATCCATGAGGTGAAAATCAAGTGCATTAGGCTGCAGCAAGGGAGAGTGAGGTTAGACAGCAGCTTTTGAACTGTGTGGGTAGTGGGTTGTATAAATTGTCTGCAAACATACTAGGAATGATTTATATGTACTCAGTATTGCCATCTGGATTATCTGACTGCCTTCCCATCCTTCTCTTCTGTAGTTCTTACAGAAGAGTGGAGTAGATAAGGAACATAGGATACTATGGCATACTAGGAATTTAACAGTGTGAGACCTGAAATAGATGCCAAGATAGCCATGTTTTCATTCCTCTTTTGCAGGTGCCTAACAGCAGCTGGAAACCACATACTTCCTCTTTTCTACACTTGGAGCCACTAGTTAGCTGTGTACCTCATTGCTATTCACAGGAAGTAAGCCAGCTTTGCAGACTTCCTGCAGGAAGCTATTTAATTATACCTTCTACCTACTTGCCTGATACAGAAGGCGATTTTACAGTGGTCATAGCAACCAAAATAGACAGGTAAAAATCTCTTGCCTTCTATTTGCGTTTCTAGTCTTTTTAACGTATGTATTACAGGATATCTGGAAACTAGCTGTAGTAACATGTTCTTTGACCGAAGATATATGTATTTTTTTAGTCTTTATTGCTGTTGTGTTTCAAGCACTGTTTACCACTTTGATCATTGGAAGAATGACTAAAAAAAAGAAGCTTTTGTTAATCTTCTTGCATCAGTTGCTGAGTAACAGATGTCTACTGCTGGACAAAATGGCACTAAAGCAAAGAATTACCAGCTATATCTGGATGTTAGAATTTATGCTGAAGTTTCACTAAGCTTTTTAATAAACAGGGTTGTTTTAGAGAAAATGCAAGGAGTAGCAGGCCTTATTTCAGATAGTTCCTCCTAGTGCAAATAACAACAGGTCTGAATCGGAAGCTGTAGATTCCATAAGAATTGTAGTAAGATTCCATGAGGGAAAGGATGTGGAGCAAATCCTAGCATAACAGTCCTCTCTTTTTTGAAGTGGGGTTAGGATTGATGTTTACAGGATCCCCCAATGCTTTGTGCAGAAATAAGTGTGGTTTTGGTTTCCAACAGGAAGCGCATTCACAGCCGGGAGACACTTGGACAAGTATTACAAGAAGTAAGTGATACATTTTTAATTTCAATTGTTCTAAAGGTGTTGCTGAGGCATCCTTGAGGCTTATGTATTAACTAATATTGAGAGTCAAATACTAGTGGACTGGACTTTGAATGTTCTTGCTTACTTGCTGCAAACTGATAATCAGTAAAGTAGTTAATATTTGGGATTTTGTTTTTCAGCCAGAAAGGTAGCATTTATTAGCAGCTAACAAAGTTTTGTCTTTTCATACCATTTAGATATCTGGAAGCTTCTGTATAACTATTTGCCGCAGAAAAATTACGGACTCAGTCAGAGATCAATGTGATCAGACAAAAGCCATTTATTTATAGTGTATCAATCTTTTCTATACTGTTTCTCTGCCTTGGCTTACAATAGCTTGCTGTATTATAATCGGATAGATTTTCTTGTAATACACCGCAACTACGGTTACATTTACAATAGCTCGCTGTGTAATATTTGGATACATCATCAATAGCTCACTGTATAATATTTGGATACATCATCAATAGTTTGCTGATAGTATAAGTAGATGCATGTTCAATAGCTTGTTGTATGATGATCGAATACATATACAATAGCTCAGTATACTATGCTTTGATACATATTCATGCAGCACACAGCAACTAGTAACAGTAAGTGTATGAGAACTTAACCTTTAAAACTTGCTAACGGTCCACTATTTTGTATCTTAGCACAGTCCAGTTTCTTCTTATCTTGCTTGCACTGCTACTTTTGCTTCTTTACCCATGTCTTCCTTCATCCTCTGTTCACATTGAGCTCCGTGTAGGCACTTGCTGACTTGGGAATGTGGCCATTCTTTGCTAAAAGTCCATCCACAAGTATTTTATAAAGTCATTATTTATCCCTCAAATCGTTCCTCAGTACCTACCTCTGCTGTGACCTCTGTGAGAAATCGGACTGTTAGTCCTGAGTAGTGGTGGAGTAGTCATACTTGACTTGCTTTCAAGAGTGTAAACACTATCTGTGTATTTGGATATCTTTTGATGTATTCATTCTTCATGTCACCACAGACCTGCTAGCTTTAATTATATATTGTATTCTTCATCTGATTTGCTTTGATATTAATTTGGGATTCTATGTATGGTGATCTAGAAATTCTAATGATATTATAATGTTATAAAGACTTGAGAAAACACAGCAAAAAGAGAAGAAAAGCAAGCAGGCAATCCAGAGATTGGGTTTCACCACACTAGAGTTTAGGGATTTTTTTGTTTGTTTGTTTCTTTACAGCCAGCCCATACATTATCCTCTCATTGCAGTCCTTCTTTGAGTGCAAGCTGTTTGGATCAAGTTAATGCCACCTATTTAGTATTTTGGTATTTCATTTTGCGTGATTAGATATACATGTAGTATTGAAGGGTTAGGTGTGAATGCTGAGTACCTAATACTTAAGGTGTTTTTACTGGGTGGAGAGGAGAATTTAATTATTTCAACAGTTGTTTAGAGATATTTGATTTGGTTGGTGGATCAAAGCAAGCCCTTGATAATATTTTGCTTATTAAGTGAGAACAAGAACATCTAGATACTTGGCCCTTTCCTTTGAAAAGGGAAAGTCTTAGCAAAAAACATCTTCACCCAAGATTAGAACTGGTTTACTAATTTTCTTAATCTAGGTCATGTTAACCAATGATTACATTTTGTCCTTAAACCCTAACAAACAATATGGAATTTGGGTGCTTCACAAAAATGGACAAAGACCTGTATGTACTTTCCTCATGGTGCTTGTCATTTTAATATTTAGAAGCTGAAGTATATAATGAAGTCCTTTATTGCTGCTGTTTTGGAAGCAAAACATTGCAGGACCATTATTACAGAAGGAATATATTCAAAGATACGTTTCTTATATTAGTCTATGGAAACGGTTGGACTTGGGCAAAGGGTTCTTCCCGACATCAAGAAACAAACCATTTACAGTCTTCAGGACTTGAAAACTGGAGGAATTCAGAAATGGAAGTTACAGGTTTCTTATCAGTGGCAGAAATTAATGTCTGAATCTAATCTTCAGTAGCATTGGCTCTTCTAAAGAAGATAGGAATTATGAGTTTTAATTTTTTAAGATATTTCACGTGAGAAGCTTTCATTGTGTCTTTAACTTCTAAATCTTTATTTTCTCTGATCTACTTTAATTCTTTATAATGTCTTCTCTTTCTTGACAAGAAAGGCTAACTCATGAAATACTTTTTTTTCCCCTGCACTATTTATTTTCTTACAGATTTCATTTACAACTGTGATGAAAAGGTAATGTGTAATTATCCCACTGTTATTCTGAGAAACGCCAGAAGGCGCAGGAATTCCTCAACTCTTGCTGTTTTCAGTTTTCAGTGGATTAGCAAGAAGAGACTCTTACCCCAGCTGTTTTCACTGGTACCAACTGTCAGGCCTAAAGCGACTTCTTTGTAGAAATACTTCCTTAATCTTGTACACTCTGAATATTTGTTCCTCCCATGTTTTTTAGAACCAGCATTGTACAGCAAATTATAATGTACCTCAGTTTTTGAAAAACACAAGTGAAGAATATGTGCATTGATCCAAGCTACAAGTTTTGGAAGAAAACCAGGAAATGTATGTGCATAATGAAATAATAATTTTTTTGGGGGGGGAAATAATAAAAATCAAGCTTACAGAGTAACTTCAAGAGACCAAAGGGGTGAACACAGAGGAAAGAAACTGGAGTGTTTTTCAGGTAGGACATACCTCAAGAACCCCAAAATACACTGGAATAGAGAAAGTCCAAGCTTGTATCCTACACTGCCAGTCACGTTGCTGAGCACTTTGTCATGGGTCCTCTATCGAACTGTGCAAATGGTGGGTTGAAAAGGAAGATTTCCTTGGCGAGTTTTCCTTTAATGAACACCACAAAGGAAAAAGATAAGACTTGAAAACTTTTGTTTATGGACTGTCACATCAGACTGCTTTTGTAAATCTGTACAAATTTGTTTTATGCAAGATCTTCCCCTCCCCGCTGCCCCCTGTAAGAAATACAATGTCTAAAAGATTTTTCTTAACTTATGGTTGAAAGTATTTCTTATTCAGGAGAATATTTTTAAATGTTATATTTTCTTCAATAAAAATTAAGTAACATTGGAAGTTTCAAAATGTCTTTTATGAAAAAGCAAAAACTCTCAATGATTTCAAGTCTGCGTTTGTTCTGCAGTAGCAAACTTTACAGTGTGATGGAGGCCTGGGGTTTTCACCAAGTGGAAGGTAATGATTGGAAATATCTGAGAGGAGAATCAAGTCTCCATTAATTTTGTGCCTGAGAAATATGTAAAATTCTACTTCTGCAGCCTACCATCATTTATGCTTGCTCCTCTTGAACATTGAAGATTAAAAGCATCTAAGATGCTTGCAGCTGAATTCTAAGTAGTCAGAACTTTCCACATCTATTGTGGAATGATGAGACAACAAAAGAAAACACTGTAATAAATCCCTCTTGTGCCTGCTTTAACAAATGTTGACACCTTTGTTTATTTTCTTAGTTTCTTGAAAGGCTGTTTCTTTCCTTTCAGGTAGGAAATTATTGGAAGAAGGCAAAGCTCATGAAAGAGCCTGTATCTGAGAGTTGTCATAAAGTAGGAATCAGATGCTGAGAAAATTAAGAAAAAAAAAAGGGCAAGGGTTTCTAAATGGCTACGATTAAAAGAGGCCCCATTGTGCAATCATTTATACATGTATGAAGTTTATACCTTAATATATGGTATAAACTCCTTTACGGGAGTGTGAAGGAAAAAAGAGCCAACACTAAGTGTGAGAGGTAAATGCAAAAGGATGTAAGGAAAGACCTTCTGAGAACACAGAGGAGTAACAGCATAATCTAGAAATGTTTATTTACTTTTTTAAAAAATTTTATTCAGGTATTATTGCAGCATCAGAACAGTTGTGCCATTTTAACAGTGTGATACCTGACCAAGCACATATGCAGGAGACTCAAATCCTACATCTAATTCATTGCTACCATGAGTGTGGAAATCCATTTGTTTGATAACATATTATTGTGGTCATGGATATGCCTATGATTATATGAGCTTTGGCAAGTACATTTATTTTAATTTCAAGAAGTTCAGCTACATAGCAGTCCTAAGTAAAACTACTCCATAATAATTTGCTATGCTGAGCTACCTGCATTTGAATACAATTGAGATAGTGATAGTGTTTTTAAAGTATCTGCGATTACTGACTGGTTGAAGTCTCTCTGCATTGTAGGGTGTTGCAGATTAGCGTGGAATAGCACAGAGTTTATATGGATGTGGCTGCAGTATTGCACCTAAAATGTACTCCAAATTGATTTCCTTTACTCCCTCGGGGAGCTGGAATTTGAATGCCCGAAGGAGGTTGGTAAAGAAGATGAACAATTCAACTCGTGCCATCTGTTCCCCCAAACATACACGGTGCCCTGCAGAAGAAAGGGAAACAGAGTTAGTTGTATACAGTTAAATTCTGGAAAAAAAACTTAGAACAAAATTCGACTGAGTTCCATGAATAGTGTTAATGTATGATAGTTATTTCCCATTTACTTCTGTAAGGACAGCAAATGCTTTTGGAGGTGTGGGAAGACATGTATTTATCTGAGGAACTGTACATCTCTAATTATATCAGTCTTTTGGTTTGGGTATTTTTTGCTCCTACTACACTTTACCCCCTCCAGAGCATAAATGAGGTTCTCCCTTTCAGTTTGTGCTTCGTATTCTGTGAGCGCCATGAATTACTGCTCAGTTAAGCCAGGTTTTAAACGGCTTCATATATTTCAGTGTCTTGTCTTTGGTCCTTGAAGAAGGAGGACTGGAGCATTGTTGGGTACAATTCTGAAGCTAAGAAGAGGGGTGTGATCAGGTTTTCTTCAACAGAAATTAAGGTGACTACACTGGATCCTTGTAGCCAAGTATCTCTAACACTGTCCAGGGCAGATACGTAAGCTAAGAGAATGAAATGTAGGGGTGTGCAGTGATGTACAGACTCAGTGACTCATTTTGGCATATTGTTTTCACAGTGTATTTCAGTATGTGTGTGTAAATATATATATTTTTTTTCCAGTCTAAAAAATAAAATATAGATATTTGGGGTAGATAAATATTCAGATTAGATAAACAGAAAACTACCAAAACAAGTTAAAAAAGAAAACTTCCTATGCTGGATTGAAATGGTAGCCTAAGTCAGTTGTCTTGATTCACGTAAGCTGGTGGACATTTGGTGAGTAAAGGAGGTAAGATGCTAAGTACCTGTTTTGTAAATAGATTTTAGGATTTGCAGCCAATTTGCGCAGATGGTTTTAAAATCTGGTTTTACTATGTTTAATTTGACTCCTTCTTACATTAGTATACTATTTACTTTTTATCTATAACAAATGTATAATAATATAATCTGTCACAGTAACAAAAAAATCTCAGCTGTTTCCCAGTGGTTTTATTGTTAGATTTTTATACTTTATTTTCCAGTAAATAATGCCAGCTTCCTGCATTGTGCTGCTTTTCTTCATAATCTGTTTATTGGAGAAACTGGTTGTCTAGAGAAGCCCTCTGAGTTATGTTTTATACTGCTTATCATTCTTCCTACTGCCCCATGTCTTTGAATCACTACCTTTTGTGTTGTAAATAAGGTAAGTTTTACATCATAATGTGCTTTTTTAAAGTTAGAATTATTTTTTTTTAATTGCCTTACATTCTTGTGATAAGATTGGATTTAGTTAGTTTTCTGGAGTTACAAGAGAACATGGTGCCAGACTATTACTGTTGGATTTGGGAGACTGAGTTTTGGTTTCCTGCTTTATCACACATTTTCTTCGTCTACTTTGACAAGTCAACTTACTTTTGTCTTTGGGTTTCCTGTTTGTAAGGTGACAATCAATTTTATGATTTGAGAACTTAATGCATTAGGAATTAAGGACCTCAAATACCTTTAGGGTAGAAACCATACATACACCTAGGAAAAAGCATGATGTCCTGTAGCCATACTAATACTCTGAATGTATGAAAAAAATAAAATGCAAGATAACATTTGTGGCTCTTACAGTACAACTACTGACTTTAAATCTTTGTGTCAAATATTTTTTCATAAAAGTATGTTTTTAAAGTTTTAGAATTCAGAAATAGTGTGTTGGTCTTGCTGCACAACGCAACAAACAGAAATACACAAGCATCAGGGCATTACCTGCTGAGAAAGGTAAGAATGCCTCTTTGTTCACGAAGTTGCCATCCAAATCAAGGAAGTGGTTTGGGTTGAACTTCCAAGGGGTCGCCCAGTGCTCAGAGTCATACACAACAGAGTGCAGGTTTGGCAGTACTAGTGTGCCCTGCAAGAAGAAGCAGAGATTATATTTTTCATGTACAATTGATCTTTTTTTTTTTGACTTTTCTCTGATAGATAATACACCATCCTGTGCCTGCAGCCCAGTGTTTGAAGGAAGCTCATTCTTTTCTTGTGCACATCGAGGCACGACAAACTCTTGTATCTTCTGTTTGTCATAATGTATTAGGTGTTTGTCTAAGTTATTTTCTGTCGGGATTCCTGAAAGTGTCTTCATGTCTAATCTAGAGGGAGCTTGGATCATTTTGCATACTTGGCAGACTAATCATAACACCTTCCTTTTTGGAAGGATCTTTCAATCCCATCACATGAATTTTGTGCTTAATATATTTGGGACATTCATATCATGCCAATGTGACTGTCAGATGTCTTGCTGCTATGTTAAGCATGTGGGGCTTTTGTGTATGTGTTTTTATTTTGTTAGGGATGACACTGGGTTGCTCCATGCTGCTCCCTTATGTGTGAAAGTTAGCTGGCTTGATGTTCATTAGTCCTCATTTCTTCATCATTCCTTAAAATGCATGTTCAGCTTTAGTACTCGGACATCATCCATATTGGACTACTGAGAAGAAAGACTTCAGTTCTCCCTATGTTTGCTACTTGTGCTGTTAGCCTTTCCCCAAGATTCCTTTTACATCTGCTAATGTAGACTTAGCCTTGGTTCAAAGCATTCAGCTTTGTTTTGTGTCTGTGACATGCTACCACTGCGCTCCATGCAAAGTTAGGATTTACAGAAGCTAATGTCATATAAATAGTAAATATTAATAGCCTAAAGCTTAAAGAAGCGTGGAGGTATGCTCTACCTTCTTAATGTGAAAACCCAGCAAAGTTGTATTCCTCACGCACTGTCGAGGGACCCCAACAGAAGTAACATTGCTGTACCGC